CTAGCCTCTTTTCTTGCTAAATAGCAGGTGTCACTGATCTTCCAGGGTATTTCAGTCTCATTTATTTATCTTCCATATGACAACCCAGACCTTGATATACCTAATTTCTGGACCAAGGGTCAAGAACCGTCCAGAGGAGACTTAACAAGTCCTTTTATCTATTATGTCCCTCCCAAACAGAGTGAACAAGGGTGGGGCAGATCATGAGCTGGGTGTGAGGGGCCTCTGGAGCCATCCAGCAGATGCTGGGTGGGGTCACCTCAGTAGAACACACCCTCCCCAATCCTTGAGGTTTGGGCCAAAGAATAAGTACATGGCAGACAGAACGTAGAAAAGGAGGATTGATATGTACTGGCTGTATGAGCTCCTATTCCACATACATAAACCCACCTCATCCATCCATCCATCCATCCATTCATCCATTCATTTATTGATTTATTTATTCATTTATGCTACAAATATTTATTGGGCATATCCTATGTCACAGAACTCTGTTAAACAGGGAAGACATTTTTGGAAGAGTGGTCCATACCTTGCAGAACCTGTAGAACTGAATTTTTACTGAATTTAGTCTTCCCATGAGTAATGTAAAATGACTCTAAAACCCATCACTCTAAATAAAACAGGAGATTTATGATTTTACACAATATACTGCTTTTTCTCCAAATACTTTGAATTTTCAAATTGCCATTGTTGTGGTTAGGTGCTGTCGAGTCAGTTTCTACTCATAGCAATGCTATGTTCTACAGAACAAAGCACTGCCTGGTCTTGTGCCATCCTCACAAGCATTTGTCACAGCCACTGTGTCAATCCATCTCCTTGAGGGTCTAAATTGCCATGAGACCTCCAAACTTGTTGTTAGTTACTGTCAAGTTGGACCCAACTCATGGTGACTCCATGCACAGCAGAGGTAAACACTGCCCAGTCCTGTGTCATCCCCATAATTAGGAGCAGATTAGAGCATTGGGATTCATTGGGTTTTCATTGGATGATTTTTGGAAGCAGATTTTCCTAGCCTGGAGCTCTGGTGGCATAGTGCCTAAGGCACTTGACTGCTAACAGAAGGCTGGCAGTTCAAACCCACCAGCCACTCCTCGGAAGGAAGGTTGGGCAATCTACTTCCGTAGTGATACGGCCTCAGAAACCCAAGGAGGGGTCGCTATGGGTCAGATCCGACTCCACAGCCGCGTATTGCGTGCGTTCTTTGCCTAGAAGCCCTGCTGAAACCTGCTGAAATATGTTCAGCATCAGATCAACACACAAGCCTCCACTGGCAGAGAGGTGGTGGCTGTGCATAGGGGCAATTGCTGAGCATCAAACCCTGGTCTCTCGTCTGGAAGGTGAAAATTCTGCCACCAAAATACCATTGCCCCTAACCCCCATTATGAATAATCAATACAAATGTACAGCTTAATAAACATAATCCACTTTAGCACTATATCAAGCAAAGTGGCAAGTAGGCTGGGCCCTGATTCAGGGTTCAGCTTGAGCTCTTGGAAGAGTGGATTGGAGTGCCTTTTTACTTTTTATCAGAAAAGCAATGCTCCAACCCTTTTCTACCCATTCCCAACAACATGATGAATCAGCCTCTTCCTCCTACAGGGTTTCACTTGTTGAAGGCTCTGTGTCAAAGGGACATAGATAAAGGAGATAATGCCAGAGCACAAGCACTGGAGGGAAGAAACATGCTGATCCTGTAAAGCCTCGTATCTCAGCATATAGTGAATTATCAACCAACACAACAGAGGGTGCTGGGATTTCTCTAAAAGGCACAACTTGCCTGGATTAACTTGGCACTGCTGGATCTCTGCAGATGGCCAGAAAATGGTGCATCACAAGGTACTTGAACTTGTCCCCACAGAGGACCTAGGGACTGGTTGTGGCATAGCTGCAATCTTGATGTTAACAGAGACCAGAGTGGTATTTTAAATACTTAATAAAAATTCTCGTGGCATTTCCAAAAGAGATTCTTTGGTAAAATACATCCAACATGGAACATCCACAGTGAGTGAGACCATCCTCACTATGAGTGCAGAGTTATTCAGATAGGGTAAAAAAAACAGGCCCTTAGATTTGCTTAAGTTTCCTGAGCTCAGCACTTCACAAGGGATTTTGGAAAGTGGTTTTTAAGTTGGAAAGACTTTGTTCCTTAATCTCTAAAATGGCTGTGAAAATGACCTATAGGATGCTTGTGGGAATAAATGAGACAATACAAGCACAAGAGAAGGCACAGTCCCAGCCCATAGTCACTGCTCAGTAAATGTAACTCCATTACTCAAAGATTCTGGCCTCGCAGGCTTCAGGCCTCTGTCTTAGTTCCTGCTACCACACTAACTTGCCTTGTGACCTTAAGTCATATTCCAGTCTTGGAGTCATTGATGTGAATATTTTATGTGCTCCACCTATTGTAAGTGCTAAAATGGCAAAGGTCCAACCCTAGGGATGTTTGTGAATGTAAACAGTGGGTGCTCAACCAATGTTAATTGAAGAGATGTTTGGAAGTGACCAAAGAGCAGATTTTAGAACTTTTGGGTAAATTTTTATACTCTTGGATAGACATAAGTAAAAACCCTTTAATTTACTGATACTGACTTTGCCAGATAGAATACATAAATATAGATATTGCAGACCAAGTCAAAACACTGATAACCACAGAGCAAAGCCTACAGCATACCTGAGACAGGTAATGCAACACTGGGGAAAGAGGAAGCTCTCATAGTGCCGTGATATTCCCTACAGGAATCTGTTGGCGCTAGCTGTACTCACAAAAAGGTAGGTCATGGTACAATGCTTAATAGCTCTTTCTTTCCAGTGAGAAATACAGATTTTAATAAAGACTCCTACTTGGTAATTTTCTTAACCTGTAAGTTTCATTTTCTTCTCTGTAAAACAGGTGTATAATTACAGTAGTTATAAAGGGATGGTTATTTTTAAAATTAATAAGATAAAGTATGTGATAATGCCCTATACCTTGTACATAGTGAGTGCTCAATATGTGTTTTTTAAAAAAACAAACCCACCAGTTGCTGTCAGGCTAATTTTAACTCAGGGAGACTCCACGTTTATCAGGGTAAAGCTACATTCCATAGGGCTTTCAATGGCTAATAATTGGGGAGTAGATTGCCAGGCACCTCTGGGTGGACTTAAGTCTCCAACCTTTTGGGTAACAGGTGAGCCCATTAAACATGAGCACCACCCAGGGACTCCCAAAATGTGCTAGTTGTCATTTCACTACAATAAATTAATAAAGAGCTACTACTTAAGGGCCATAAATTGCACCTAATAGTGTGGTTAATAGCTCTGGTGGCATAATGCCTAAGGCATTTGACTGCTAACCAGAAGGCTGACAGTTCAAATCCACCAGCCACTCCTCAGAAGGAAGATTGGGCAATCTACTTCTGTAGTGATACTCCTTCAGAAGCCTAAGGAGGGGTCGCTATAAGTAACAATCAACTCGACAGCAGTGAGTTTGGTTTGAGTTTTAATATTGTGGTTATTTTCACAGGAAAATTAGCTAGGAACTGGAGGTGCTTGATGGAAGAATTTCAAACCACCAAAGATTATTTAAGCAAGTGACATCTTGAGGCACACCAGTCTCACATTACATTCCCTAAATTTAATCGTTTCCCTGGATTTCTCTAAGTCTTAACGTGGCTCACTGCCATGGTCTGTTCTAGTCACCGGGGCCTCCTGGCTGTCCCTCTGATGAACCAATCATGTCCCCCTGCAGTCTTTGTATTTGCTCTTCCACTGTGCCTCAGCTCTCTGTACAGTTAGGTCCCTGCTTGTCCTCATATCTCTGCTCATAAGTCATCTTACCAGGGAGGCTTTCCCTGACCTCCTCTAACATCTCTATTCTCCTTTATCTTGCCATCATAGACTGAATTGTATCCTGCCAAAATATGTGTAACTTGGCTGGGCCATGATTCTCAGTGTTGTGGTATTTATGTAATGATGCAATCTTCCCCATGGTGTGATCTGATGTGATCAGCCAATCAATTGTAAAGGGATTGAGGTGGGATGCCACACCCTTACTCAGGCCACAGCCCTGATCCAGATATAAGGGGAATTTCCCTGGGATGTGACCTGTATCATCTTTTATCTTACAAGAGATGAAAGACTAGAAAAGCTAGTAGAGATGGAAGAAGCAGATTACCACCAAAAAAAGAACAGCCAGGAGTGAAGCATGACCCTGCACTGAGAACCTCCTAACACCAAAAAAAAAAAAAAAAAAAAAAAACCCAATTAATCACATCAGACTAATAGTGAATCTGACTCATAGTGACCCCTTCTTTGGTTTCCCCTTCTTTGGTTTCCAAGGCAATATCATTGTGGAAATAGATTGTCCAACCTTCCTTCTAAGGAGTGGCCAGTGGGTTTGAAACACCAGCCTTCTGGTTAGCAGTCAAATACCTTACACTAGGCCACCGGAACTCCTGAGAACCTCCTAGACATAGGGGAAGACTGATGCCAAGCACCCGTAGCTCTCCAAGCATTGCAGGGCCCACAGATGTTGCGCAGACAAGGACTTTCCCTCAGAACTTACAGCCTTCCCCTAGAACTGGTGCCCTGAATTTGGATTTCTAGTTTCCTAAACTGTGAAAGAACAAATTTCTGATTGTGAAAGCCATCCATTTGTGGTATTTCTGTTATAGCAGCATTAATACCTAAGATACCTGCTTTAGTTTTCTTCACAGTTGTCACCATCTGACGTTTGTATTTTATTTGTTTACATGGTTACTGCTTGCCTCCCCCTAATGGAGCATAGGTTCTATGAGACCAGGGACTCGTCCACTTTGTTCATTGAGAATTCTCATCAGTAGAGCAGTGCCTGACTTAAAGTAGGTGCTCAACAAAGAGTTGCTGAATGAAAGATTGAATGACTGCCAGCAGAGGTGACAGCATGGGAGGCTGCGATGGATTCTGCTACTCACTTTTAGAATATTCTCCCTGGGAATTGGAAACTATTTGCAAACCAAGCATTCAGTCAAGAGTCTTACCCTATTAATACAGAAGCAGGAGCTGTGATTTGTGCTGAAGTTGCATTGGTGGTTGAGTTGAGGGTGTCTGTATTTACAATGAAGAACTTTACAGTTGGATTCACAGCTCCTGCCTAGGAAAAAGTAACCATGAGATTAGTATTCGTGAAAAAGCAACATTGCTACACAAATTTAAACCACACAATAATATCTGCATTATGGTCATAAATTTTAGCAACAGACACATTCAAACAATTTAAGCTACACAAAATGAATATAAGAGTTGGGAAATCTTTTCACATTTAGACAGAATAATGTGTATTATTTAAAGTCCCAAAGCCTTCCTCTTTAAATAATGAATGTTCAAAATTTTGTGTTTCATGTAAGAGAGGATAAACTTCTTGAATTAAATTCTATTGTTTTTAAATATAGCTTGACTCCACAAGACAAGAAGTCTTTCATGACTGGTCACTATGAAGAATACCTTTGGTTTGATCAAAGGTACATTCACCAGGAAAATTAGTATATTTGAGCCAAGGGCCAATAATCTTAATTATGAAGATATACTTTTTACTCCCAAATTCAGTGTCACCGTGTTGGAGCCTTACAATCAATGTTTATACAATATACCATTTAAAAGGGTTTTATAGATTTTTTTTTTCACAATAAATCTTTGATTGACAGATTAGTTTTAAATAATATGGTATTTTTAGTGAGAACATTTTATGTTGGTTTTTTGTTTTTGCCAGTTTCACTCATCAAAAAAATAACATTTCAGTGACAAACACATCTCCATATTTAGTCTCTGATTTCTTTTAACTTACAATGTCTTCCTAAAATGGCAACGATTCATAAAGCAAATTGAGTGAGTTGATAAAAATAAAAATTCTTTTTCCCAAATTGCTTACAGCAAAAACACTTAACTATTTGATTTTCCGGCAGATCACAGACCATACTGTAGCCATAATTATTATGGTCCTAGTGAAGAATCTCTGGTTCCCTCCTAAGTCCCCCTTTCCTGGCTTATACAGCTTAACAAAGCTCTTCAATTTTAATAAACATGCACCCTAGAGGGGGGAAACAGCCTATCACTGTTTGAGGCATATCACTATTGTTCCTAATGTAGGACCTGCAAACTTTACATTAGTGGCAAATCTATAATTGAAACACTAGAACTAGTCAGGTAACTGGCTAATTAGCAATGCAATCTGATATACAACCACGCTTTTCAACTTGGTCTAGGGCACATTCCACCGCCTGCAAATGAGATGAGCTTCTGATTCAATGACAGCCTATCTTTTCCTCCATTCAAACATATTCATTCCCCCCTACCTCTTTCAAAAGCATTTCTCCCATCTTTTTCTGCTTGTCATTCCTCAAAGTTTTTGGAGAAATTACAAAACCTTAAATCACACTCTTTCCTAGGATAATAAAAATACTTTAAAATTGCCAGATGCTGTTGACTTCAGCAAGAGTAATCACAGCAAGCTGTTGAAGAGAGACTGACAATATTTTCATTAGCAGGAAGGGTTTAAATGAAACCATTCTCCTCCCATCAAATCACTGAACCACTATGCCGATAGGAGCACAGACCTTCGGGTATGGAATCCGCACCGTCTTTGGGTACTGCAGTGACTCATCGGAGTAGAAGGAGTATTCAATAAGTGGGACTTCTGTGTCGTTAAATTGGGCATATGCTAAAAAAGTGCTGTTTGGAGACCACCACAGAGCAGAGTAGGCACTGAAGACTTCCTCTGAAAAAAGACATAAATTGTTCTGTTGCAAGAAGTAGCTGATAAATTGGCTTTGGCATTCAAAATATTGTTCTCATTAGCTTTAGTAATTACAGTAGAGTTCAACTAATGAACCACTTTGCATTTGCTGGGCTTCCAAATTCAGAGTAATACAAATGAATAAAAATAAAATCTTCACGATTATATCTGGATTGTAAAAATAAGTAACCCGTTGAACCATTTTAGAATATTTTAGCACACAATATTTAATATATGCTCTACATTTTTTTCTTTATTTTATAATCCTCTAAATTTATGCCTCAAAACATACTAAAAGTAAATTTCACACAGGAGGCTGATTCTCCTTTCTAATTTTCAAACAGTCAACATGCCAGCACACTCTCCCTGACTGGGCTCAGTTTGTACTGAACCCGCAGGGTACTGGTGGGTGGTGTGTAGCTCCAGGCTATCAAACCAATATGGTGCCCAGAGTTTACTACTCTTGGCACAAACAAGGTGTGGGAAGGATGGATTTAGTACAGCAAAGAGCTCCACAAGACCCCTACTGAGAAACATCTCCTTTGCCCAGCCCAGAAACTGAAAATTCTCTTGGATTAACACCCTTCTATGGTGTGTAGTGAGCTCTGGTGGTGTAGTGCGTAAGACATTCTGCAGCTAACCAGAAGGTCAGTGGTTCAAACCCACCAGCTGCTCTGCAGGAGGAAAATGAGGCAGTCTACTTCTGTGAAGATTTACAGCCTTGGAAACCCAATGAGGGCTTGCTATGAGTCAATAATTGATACAATGGCAGTGGGTTTGGGTGTTTGGTTTCTGGTAATTATGCTGATGGGTAAGAGAAGCAGGTCAAAGAGAGAAGCAAATGAAAGAAAAAGTCTTACTTTCTGGTACATTCTCAGTCCCTGGCAAATGCAACTCTTTCCTATGTTTATTACCAGCTCTATTCAAAGAACAGGGGTCTCTGGGTGGTGCAAATAGTTAACACAATTGGCTTGCTAAGTGAAAGGCTGGTGGTTCAAGTCCACTCAAAGGTGCTTTGAAAGAAGGGCCTGGCAATCTACTTCTGAAAAATCAGCCAGTGAAAACCCTATGGGGTGAGGTTCTACTCTGACACTCAGGGTCGCCATGAGTGAAAATAGACTTGATAGCAATTGGTTGCTGTTTATACAAGGGATAGCCAATCTCTGGCTCCTAAAATGCCAAAACCTCTTTTACTATCTGGGAATAAAGGATTCAAGTAGACTAGGTAAAGACTTTTACTTCTTTATGCAGATTTAATCCACAAGTCTTATGTATTGATTTGAATGTAAACATAAAAATAAAAACAGAGAAACTAGGACCTCAGGGTTAGGAAATCTTCTGTTCCAATTGCTTTTTTGTTGTTGATTCAGCCCTCTCTACAAGTTTTATTTAAACGATCATTTTCAATAATATCACAATAAAAAAATAGCAATAATGATTGCTAACATTGATGAACAGCTGACGTTTAATGAATGCTAACTATGCACCGGGCATTGACAAGCAACTGGCTTTTATCTCTCAATTGCTCCCCACGATATCCCATTATACAATGGCAAAATGAGGCAGGCCTAAAGAGGACAAGTATTTTGCCTAGGGTCACATGGCTAATAAACACAGAGCCACCAAATTCCATGCTTTCCATCTCCATGCTATACTGCCCCTTCTTAACTCTATTTAAGTTTAAATATTTAAGCTGGGAAGGCAGACTACTCTCCCTTTCAATACTTCAAACACATATCATTGAGTTACTTTAAGGTGGCAGCTTGGAATAAAAAAAAAAACATTCTTATTTATTCCTCATGAAGATCCCTGGGTAAATCTACTCATAGCCCATTTTACAGAGAAAGAAACCAAGGAGTGGAGAGATGGAGTGAATTGCCTGAGACAAGAACTAGAACCAAGACTTTGTGATACCAATTGAGTTCCACTAAGAACTTCATATACTCACTTGATGTCTCATTCCCTGTAGCTTCTACTCACTGACACTAGCCTGTGATAAAGATGCAATTATATAAAATGAATCAATTACAGCAAAATTTTGGATTTTTATATTACTTTCAAATGTAGGTAGCAGATAGTGTTCTATGTTTTTAACTACATGATTGTTTGGAATATAGAACATATTTTTCCCCATTGGCAAAGTAATTAAACCATATTATAAAACTACTTCTGGTAAAATTCAAAGTCTTAGGAATGAAGGAATCATTTACACTTGCCTTTTATCTATAAAAAAATATAAAGAGGGAAGAATGACAAAGAAAGGAGAAGATTTCTAGTCCCTTCCTGATATAAAACTGGCTAGGAGCTCTAGTAGCATAGTGGCTAAAGCACTTGACTGCTAACCAGAAGGCTGGCGGTTCAAACCCACTAGCCACTCCTCGGAAGGACTGGGCAATCCTACTTCTGTAGTGATACTGCCTCGGAAACCCAAGGAGGGGTCGCTATGAGTCGGGGCCGACTCGAGGGCACATAACAACAACAACAACAACATAGGCATCTCTGGCATCTTTCCCCTCTCTATGCATGCTACCTCTTGTCCTGACTCTCAGATCTTCCTAATGCACTCTCTGGACCTAGTACTCTGTCCTAAACAGGACACTCAACATACTTAATGACTATCATTTGTTGGCATCTTTATCTCCTTCTCTAGAATGAATTTCCTGAGGGCAGCAACTGGGCAGCATATGTTCCTGTATCTTCCGCACCTCATAGGTGGTTGGCATTCAGTGGTGAAACGCTTTGAATTGCCACAAGCCCCCACTGTCAACACTAATACTTTAAAGGGAAGAAGTGCCCCATGTTATAAAATTATTTGTGTGTCTATCCATTCTCATCTTTCTGCTCACCAAAAGTTCTCATTTACAGCTCTGGGTTAGGTCACTACACTCATACTAAAACCAAACCAAACTCACTGCCTTTGAGTAGGTTCTGACTCATAGCAACCCCTCCTTGGGTTTCCAAGGCGGTAGTGCCTAAGGCACTCGACTGCTAACCAGAAGGCTGACGGTTCAAACTCACCAGCCACTCCTTGGAAGGAAGATGGGGCAATCTACTTCCGTAGTGATACTGCCTCGGAAACCCAAGGAGGGGTCGCTATGAGTCGGGTCTGACTCGAGGGCACATAACGACAATGACGATATCTATGGAAGTAGATTGCCCAGTCTTCCTTCTGAGGAGTGGCTGGCTGGTGGGTTTTAACTGCCAGCCTTCCAGTTAGCAGTTAAGTACCTTAGACACTACATCATATTCATACTAAATATGAATAAATTAATTTAAAAATTAATTGCATTACTTCGTATGAATGTAATGTAATTAATTTTATACCAGCATAAAAAGTATTATTTTTATAAAGAATATACTTACTATCTAAAATAAATCAAAGTGAAAACATGGAGAAAAATATTTGGGACATAGGATGGGGTAAGGGCACAAGTGCCAGCAGGTCAGCTGTCTTGTGAGTCTCCCTCCAGAGGCAGGCACATGGCCTCATAGTCCTCATAGTCTTGTTTCTTCTATAACTCATAAACTTACAGATTCTCAACTTGTACCCTCATTCATTTCCAATAAGTCTCATGGCCACAGCAAAGAGGGTGGCTTTAACAGGAGAACAGAAACATGGAGGAACCAAGAACACCAAACCCACTATCGAGTTGATTCCTACTCATAGTGTCATAGTGACTGACCCCCATTGGGTGTCTGAGGCTGTGAATCTTTATGCAAGCAGACAGCCTCATCTTTCTCCCATGGAGCTGCTGGTGGGTTTGAACTGACTACCTTTTGGTTAGCAGCTGAATGCTTTAGCTATTATACTACCAGAGCTCCTTATGGAGAAACAAGTGTGTTCTTTTCTAAGTATGGATCATTTGTAAATGCACAAAACCAATGATGGGACTTTTCCGTAGGGACTGAGTTCCATTTTTAGAGCAAGGCTCACACTGGAGCTGTGAAGCCATTCTTCTGTATGTGAATGGATTAGTCACAAAATGGGCAAAATGAGATCCTTAAAGCTATTATCTGTAGTAGAAAGGAAGTTAATGTTAGCTGTGTTCTTATCTTGGAGAGAGAGGGCCACAGGTTTTGGAAAAGGCATTACTCAGTTCAAGTTGATGATTCTGGATACTGTGTTGTTGTCCACCTGTTGTTAAAGATTTTCTTTTTTTTTTTTTTAAATCTCTAAGAAACTAGTATCATCGTAAATTTCAATTAAATACTTATTTCTAGGACATGGGATTTTATTTACTTTTTAACTTGTTTCATTTCCCCCTTATAATGGAACTTGAATTTCAGTAAGAACCAAAATTAAATCATGAAGAAAGATTATTGTTTGGACAATGAAGAAGAGATAATAGGATGAAACAAGGATGAGTCCTTTTAGTAAGTATGAGGCAACCCTGTGAATGATTTAAAATAGACTCATACCGCCTTTTACCTTGGTAACTGTAAATATTAAAAATGTTTTTCTGATATCTTCTGAAAATTTCTAAACTGTTTTCTAATATTTTCTAAAAATGTTTACCCTAAAACACAGAACATCCTTTTTCAAAAATTTTAATTTGTTTTTTTATTCATTTTTTTCTAGTCCTTTCTAGTTATTTTCTTCTGTTTTAAAAACAGGAAATAATTATTTGTCCAAGTTCAAATGATCTTAACTCCTCTGTAAAAGAGGTATGTTTTTTCCTCTTTCCGCTCCCACCTCCCGAGAATATTCTGTCATCTTTTGGAATGTTGTGGGAGTACTTAGTTTTCTTCAGTGATTTCTGGGCTAGGCAGGTCTGGTTAGAAAAACACCTGATGTTAATCTCCATGCTTTTATGCTTCACTAAAGCAGAAAAGTTACCTACATTGAAAGGCTTTTTGTTACAGTCAACCAAAGACAAAGGAGTATTGTGAAACAATGAGGACATAGGCACCACTAACCACTGCTAAGAACCCCCTGGTGTAGGAGATACCTGCTGTCATGAGCTCTAAAAGAGATTTGATGGCTGTTCTTTAACAAAACTTGTTTTCAATGCCATTGAATGTCCCATTTTAAAACAAAATTTGAACTGTTTTAAAAAGCTTCCAGATTTGCTCATTTGACAAAGTTTTAAAATCTCTACCTTCATAAACCCAGTCAGTTATTCCATTATATATCACATCTTCTTTTCCAGTCCATGTGATCCTCTGACTTGGTAAATTTGGTTTAATTTTAACATAAACATCATAGTTCCAAACGTATGCCTAGAAAGATAGAAAAAAGGTTGATATTAATAATAATATGCAATGTAGTATTTTATCCTGAAGTTTTAAAAACATTTATCAATAAATTCATCCTAAAAAAATATTGGCATGCAAGTAAAATTATTACTGTAGGTTAGTTATTCAATTTGACCACATTGAAGACTAGTCACTCCCTCCCTCATGTTCTCAAATCACAATTTTACATGTTATAACTCAAAAATAATCCTAAAGCTAATCCATTCTTAGTATGTTAAAAGAAGAAGCTTGAAACTACCAATATTTGGATGCTGAAGTGTGTGAAAAGACCTAGAAGACTGACCACTTCCATAGGATGCTGTTGTTGTTGGTTACTGCCGAGTGGAGTCTGACTCACGGCCATCCATGTGTGCAAAGTGGAAATGCTCCATAGGGTTTTCAAGGCTCTGTGAACTTTCAGAAGCAGATTGCCAAGCCTGTCTTGCCATTGTGTTTGAGCCACCACCCTTTCAGCTGGTAGTTAAACATTATAACTGTGCCACTGTCAACTGTGTATTTCTTTCTAGGTGAGGGTGAGTAGAGAGAGTACTGTTGCATGCTGGGAGGGAATTCAACTGCAGATAAACATTCCATCTTCCTGTTAGATTCTTTTGGGCTTCTGATATTTTCCTAGCACTGGAGAGCAGAAAGATATACAATGACAGAGAAGATCACAGAACTAGGGGAAAGCAGGGGTGACTCTTAAAAATACCCAAGTACAGGATAATTAGGATTTAAGAGTTTGACAAACATTTTCCTAGTGATTAAACAATCCCCAAGTAGTAAATCAGAAACTTTTAAAAGTTGTGTTTGCTGTGTTTGGCTGATAAGATGTTATCTTGCGCAATTAACACTGTATTTTATAGTTAAGTATTGTCTTCCTAAAATGACAGTTTGATATCAGGGTTAGTAGCTTCCACGTATGAAAGATTTGAGCCAATATTTTTCTGACAATAGGAAACACTCACTAACCAATTTATGGCCCTCTGGTGACCATGTGATCCACTGTGTGTTGTTTGGAATTCTCTCAACTGTAATCAGCTGCCTGGAAAAAAGATAAAAGGAAAGACGCATTACCAAAAGAATATATCACAGCAGGTTTTTCTTTTTTTTTGCTAGATAAGAAAAGCCTAATACGTTTTATGGGGACATCACTGACCTTTTATTTAAATCATAAATTTCATATGAAGCTGTGTAGGAATGTCTCCATTGCTATAAAAGAAAATAGACATTTTAGGCTTCTATGATTCTTGAGAGTTTGTTGGTAAACAGCTGGCCACTTGCTATAAAATTCAAAATGAGATAAGGTGATATTTCCCAGTAAAATTCTCAAATTTTATCACATCTCACAATTCCCTATTTAAAAAAAAACAAACCAAACTCATTGCCATCTAGTCGATTCTGACCCATGGAGACTCCCTTTGGGTTTCTGAGGCAGTAAATCTTTACAGAAGTAGATTGCCCAGTCTTCCTTTCTTGGAGTGGCTGGTGGGTTTGAACCTCCAACCTTCTGGTTAGCAGTCAAATACCTTAGGCATGTAGAAAGTATCTTAAAATACCAAACTAAATTCACTGCCATTGAATTGATTCTGACTTATAGTGACCCCCATTGTGTTTCCAAGACTGTAAAGCTTTACAGAAGCAGACTACCTCATCTTTCTTCCAAAGGCTGGTCAGTTCAAACCACCAGCCTTTAGGTTAGCAGCCAAATGCCTTAACCACTACACTACCAGAGCTTCTTAGAAGGTATCTTAGAGACTATATAATACCAAAGTTGTCTGGACTTTATCTATACCATAGTTGTGGCATCACTTCATCCAAGAAGAATTTGCAGAATCTCCAGTGAACAGAAACACCAATTTCTATGTAGATAATATTCTAAGCATGGCATGTTAAAGACACCTGTTTAGGAAAATCCAAATTTTCACTTTCTATCCATCTTACTGACAAAATATTTCTACATCACCACCAACCATCTATTATTCTACTGTTGTTGGTGATGCAGAAAATGATTATCTTAGTATATTGCTGATGAAACTATAAAATGTTACAGCATTTTAGAATTAAAATCCATATACAATCAATATTTTGAACAACGATTACGAAAGCTACAAGAGAAGAAAACTAAATATAAAGAAAATAAATAACAAATATTAGAGCAGCAACCAAATAGAAAACATACAAACCAGAAAAATCAACAAAGCCAAAAGTGTTCATTGAAAGAACTAATAAAATTGTTAATAAGCAAGAATAAATGGGGAAAAAAAGCAAAAATGACTAATATCAAAAAGGACTATTACATTACAACAGACTCCACACACATTAAAAATTATGAGGATATTATAAATATTTTTGTTAATAAATTATTAAAAAAAGAAAGAAAAGAAAGGCAAACTCTTTGAAAAACAAGTTATAAAGACTGAGATATAATTAATGGAAGGAAATATCATGTCCACTGGTCAGAAATCAAAATATTATAAAGATGTCCCATGTCCCTAAATTGATGTATAGATCTGATGCAATTCCAACCAAAATATCCATTTCCAATTTACACAGAAATGCAACAGTCAAATAGCAAGAAGAATAAACTGTAGGATTTATATGACCACTTCCTGAAGAACTATTTACCTAGGGGGATTAAGACAATATAGTTTTGTACAAGGTAGCCAATTAAAACATAAAAAAACCTACTGCCATTGAGCAGTTTCCAACTCATAGTGACCCCCATTGGTCTAGTGAAATAGCACAGAGTGTCCAGAATTACATTTATATATGGGGTCACTTAATTTATGCACAGATGCCACTTCCATATAATGGATAAAGAATCATTTTTTTAATTAAATGGTGCTTGGTCAGTTAGATCTGATAACTACTAACTACAATGCATAAAAAAAAAAAATCACTTTCCAATTAATCAGAAACCTAAATATGAAAGACAAAACAGTAACATTTCTTGAAGATAACACATGAGAAATATCTTCACAATCTTGGAGTGAGGAGGATTTCATAAACTATACACAAAAGCACTAACCATGTAGGAAAAAGAATTAATTGGATATCATTAAACTTAAGGACTTATGTTTATCAAATGCACCATTAAAAGAGTAAAAAAGCAACACAGAAAGAGAAGATATCAGCAATACATAAAATTAATGGAGATATATCTTTAAATATCCAAAATATTTCAAGAATCCTTATAAATGAGTAAGAAAAAGAAAATCCCTCAATAAAAAGTTTTAAAATATAAAAGTTTTAAAAATATAATTGAAAAGTTTTGAAAAAGAAAATCCAATAGAAAAATGGGTAAAACTTTGACCTGGTATTTCCTGACTTGAAACTGACTTGATGGTAACAAATAACAATAACTTCACTAAAGAAAATTCCAAATGACCAATAAGCATATGGCAAAATGCTTTATTTTATATCATTGGGGAAAAGTAAATTTAAATGAAAATATGATTCCAAAAAGCTAAAAAAACAAACTCACTGCCATTGAGTTGATTCTGACTCATAGCACCCCCCATTATGTTTCTAAGGCAGTAAATCCTTATGGAAGTAGATTGTCCCATCTTCCTTCCACAGAACGGCTGGTGGGTTTGAACCACCAACCTTCTGGTTAGCAGTCAAATGCCTTCGGCACTGTGGCCCCAGAGTTCTTTTACTTAGCCAATAAACCAAACCCACACCAAGTCAACTTTCAGCGAGTTGATTCCAACTCATAGCAACCCACTAGGGCACAATAGAACTGCCCACATAGGGTTTGCAAGGCTATAAACCTTTACAGAAGCAATCTGCCTCATCTTCTTCCCATAGAGTGGCTGCAGATTTGAACTACTGACTTTTTGGTTAGCAGCCCAATGCTTTAACCACTGAGCCACCAGAGCTTGTTACTTAGCCAATAGATGGCTATAATTAAAACAAATTAACTAATTAACAATATTGAATATTGGCAAATAGAGCAAATGAATTATCATATACTATCGATGAACGCAGGAGCTCTGGTAGCATTGTGCCTAAGGCACTTGACTGCTAACCAGAAGGCTGGCGGTTCAAACCCACCAGTCACTCCTCGGAAGGAAGGTTGGGCAATCCTACTTCTGTAGTGATGCTGCCTCGGAAACCCAAGGAGGGGTCGCTATGAGTCAGGGCTGACTCGACGGCACATAACAACAACAACAAATTGATGAACGTGTAACTTAATGTGACCACTATGAAAAACTCAGTGTGTATTAAAGCTAAACACATGTGTAAAGCTGAACATACACCTACCCTGTTGTTAGCTGCCCTTGAGTCCATTCTGACTCAAGGTTTTCCTGGCTGTAATCTTTACAGAGGAGCCCTGGTGGCACTGTGGTTAAGCACTTGGTGATAACTGAAAGGATGATTATTCACATCCACCAAATGCTTCATGGGAGAAAGATGTGGCAATCTGTTTCTCTAAAGATCACAGCCTTGGAAACCATATGGAGCAGTTCTATCCTGTCTTACAGGGTCTCTATGACTTGGAATTGACTTTTTCTGTTGTTTTTTTAAATCTTTACAGAAGTAGATAACCAGGTATTTATCCTGTGGGGTCTCTGAGTGGGTTCAAACCATGAATCTTTCAGATAGCAGCTGGGTGCTTAATTATTATGCCACCAAGGCTCCAACACACATCCTGTGACCCAACAATCCCACTACTAGGTATACAGCCAACAGAAATGTGTATATACATGCACCAAAAGATTGATTTAAGAATGCTTATAGCAAAACAACGAGATACCGTCTTGCTCCAGCACTAGTAGCAAAGTTCAACAAGACAGAAAATAACAAATGCTGGCGAGGATGTGGAGAGATTGGGATTGTCATACACTGCTGGTGGGACTGTAAAATGGTACAACCACTGTGGAAAGCAGTAGGCAATTCCTTACAAAGTTGGAATTAGAAATACCATTTGACCCAGCAATCCCATTACTAGGTATATATCCTAAAGAAGTGAGAGCCAGGACAAGAGCAGACCCATGTTCATCGCAGCACTATTTACAATAGCCAAGAGATGGAAACAACCTAGGTGTCCATCAACTGAGGAATGGATAACCAAACTATGGTACATACACACAATGGGATACTATGCAACCCTAAAGAATAATGTAGAATCTGCAAAACACCGCAGAACATGGATGAACTTGGAGGACATTATGCTGAGTGAAATAAGTCAATCACAAAAGGACAAATATTATATTAGTCTATTATTGTAAAAGTTAAGGAAAGGCTTATCTATGGAAAGACATTTTCTTTGTTGGTTACCGGGGTGGGAGGGAAGGGAAGGGAACACAGTTAGATAGGTAGAGATAAGTATTGATTTGGGTGAAGAGAAAGACAGTGTAACCAATGTGAGTGATCAATATGGTGGCATTGAGGAAGAGAAAGACATAGAGAGGTACATGGGAGGTACAGATGACAAAGATGAACCCTTTTGCACATACAGTACTGCATTGTCAATGAAGGCAAACATGGGTATACAGGTAGATAGATGGGTGAACAGGCTGAACTAGTAGGTATGTCTATGAAGCAGGGAGTATACTGAAGACCATGTATAGGTTTGGCAGACAATGGTCCTTAAGTTTGTTTGTATGATCTGAATTCCCAGGTGTATAGTAGAGCTGACTATAGGGCAAGGTTGTAGTCACTTCTCGGTCACAGCCGGCTACCCAGAGGGACTGAGTAGTTGAACCTGTGGGCTTGGGACCATAGTTGCAGGGGACATCAAGCTCAATTGGCATAACATACTATACAAAACATTGTTCCACCTCTTACTTTGGCAAGTAGCTACTGGGATCTTAAAAGCTTGCAAGCTGCCATCTAGATGCAACAATGGGTCTCTCCTTGTCCAGAGCAAAGAAGAATGAAAAAAACCAAAAATTCATGGAAACAATTAATCCTAGAGACTGGTACATCATGCGATCGATCCTCAGCCTGTACGACTATGAAACCAGAAGAACTAGATGGTGCCCAACTACCACTGTCAACCACTTGGAAGGGGAGCTATGTAGGAGATCCTGGATAGAGAGGGAGAACAATGTGGAAAAAAACTCAAAATCATTTGGAGAAAAAAAAAAGAGAGGGGGGCCAGGTTTCCTGGTCCGATCGAGCCTGGTGGAACCACTGAGACTATGACCCCTAGCTGCCCTTCAGGTCTGGAATTAAACCCACACCTCTGGCTTCCAGCCAAA